CCCCAAAACCCCAAACCCCAAAACCCCAAAACCCCAAAACCCCAATCATGTATAAATCAGCTTTTATAAAGAATTATACTAAGTATAGAAAATGTCTGATCAAAGCTTCGAAGGTAACTAGATTTCTTTTCTCCACTCTGTCGAAATTAGGATCAAAGTTAAACTATGCAAAGAGATTGGTAAACTTCTGTATTGAGTAGCCTTTTAAAGGGTACTCAATGCAAAGGCTGCTCCTTTTTGGGGATAAGTTAAAAAAATGATCAAACGAGATCCTTTTAAGCTAAAAAGCTTGAAAATTACATTACAGGAAGTTTCTGGAACTTGAGCATCATTTGTTTTAGAGGAATATATGAAAAAGGGAAGAAAGAGAGGAAGAAAGAGTAATGAAAAAATAGATAACTGTTATAGGATGTATCCCAGAATATGCTAAAGATATGAGCGCTGAAGGTATGCTTTATATTTAAGATGGAATATTTTAGACCTGCAAAAGGAAAGAAACAAGAGAAATGCGAAGAAGAGTAGAAAAAAGAAGAAAGACTATGTTGAGCATCTGGAAAAGGAAATAGCCAAGCTTTCAGAAGAGTTAAAGGGGGCTAAATAAGATCATAGCTACTTACAAAGCGAGAGAACATCTTTATCAGACTGGTAGCCAGTCAGGATACTCTAAGTTGATAATGACCCAGGAGCAGATTAAGATTAAAACTGAAGAATTTTTGAAGGGAAGAGACTCTTTTCCAAAGGATTATCTTAAATATATCTCTACAAAGTAAGTCAAATTACTGTTTCCTACTTATCAAGCAGAAATATTTGACAGAAATTGTTTCAAAATTTGCTAAATTAACCTTTAAAACTAAATCTGTTGCTATATGTTTTGTTCTTGTACTACATTGATAAATTGAAGTTAGGAATGTTTACAATTTTATGCCATAAATGAGTACGGTCAGAGGTAAAACAAGGCCAAAACATCTAAAATCTCCATTAAATATATTATTTCTCCCTATTATTATCTCTAATCATGAGTTCAGGTTTGGTGCAGATGGAACAGAGAGAAGAAAAGTGATCAAACATGCTTTTAAAGGTGAGTGCAAAGCTCTAACCTATTAGTTATATTCGATAATTTGGTGCCAGATGCTCATAAACTCTTCATGCAGTATAACAAAATGAGCAAGAGAGTATCCAGAGAAGAGATAGCGGCAAAGATGAAAAAGCTGAAGGCCACAAAGAAAGCAGCAAACGAGCTAAATGGAAATGAAGAGATTTTCTATGGTCTTCTTCTTGCACTAAATCTTGATAAGGACCAAAAGAGAAGCCTTGCAGAGTCTCAGGAATATATGCATAGCATTTTTACAGAGTACCAAGAGTAAGTTGATCGATTTTGAGGCCAAATTAGTCCGATGATACATTTATGTTTATACCCATTGGTTTGATCGTCACCAATTATTATTCTAGAGGAATTCACTCACTTGTAAAGAATAGGAATCAATTCCTGAGGACTATGAAGAAGTTGAAGGAGTACATGGTTAGTACTATAAAATTGTTAAAGCCATCACAGCTGATTTCCTTCAGTAAATTCTTTAGGAAGGTAACCGTTCCAATTGAATTTTAGGTGGAGCATTCTCCCTCAATCCAGTTTCATGAGCTATGGGAGGTGAATAGAGGACCTAGCTCTAGCGAGGAAACCAAAGAAGGTGTTATAGTTTTGTCTGAGGATGAGCCCTCAGAGAACTCGGATGCTGAGATTCCTCCTGTCTCTGAAAGCGTTATCAAATCTATCGAAGGTCAGCATTTGGTTAGAATTTTTTCAGATTAAAGATTTTCAAGAAACGTCATAATGTTGCGAAGGATTAGAGTTTGGGATCAATTCCAAGTTTTGTATTTTTGATACATGAGTTTCTACATTTTTGCCATTGTTCCTTAATTCCAGATCTTTGAGTTGACGAAAATATTTCAAAACTAAGAGAAATTACAAATCAATTACTAGATTACATTAGGGGTTTTTCAGGACATCCAAGTTGCGATCCAGATATAATAGTAATACTAGAACTATGAAAGTACTGCGACGTAACAGATGTATCTTTGTTCCTCTTTTCCTTCCAAAAATGCAAACATTAAAGCACCCTGAAGCATGCTAGTGTCTCACCTTGTATGTATAGGAGACAAAGATGATGGAATTAGTAAAGCGATGTCTACAAGGAATCTGGAAGAGCTAAAATTGAAAGATGACGTAATGTCTCATATTAATCAACCTGAGATATCTCTGATCTTGAATAATGGAAATCAGTTGGATAAGATCCCTCACTCAGATGAGATCCCTTGCTTAGAAGAGGGAATTGACTTTGGAATGTCAGAAGATATGTGTGACTATTCAGTAGAAGGGCTCTACCACTCTTTGCTGATTTAGACCCCATATTTTTTAAGTTTTAGGACCCAATAGCGCGACACAGAATTGGGGTTTTGGGGTTTTGGGGTTTTGGGGTTTTGGGG